ATCTGATAATACAGTGATATATATCAGTAGATTGTCTAATGTTAAACCATTTTTATATTGCTGGGATAAACCCATTTTGTTCATTGCATTATTTTTTAAAGGCATGGCTAGATTCATTTGGTAACATTTTATTTATGACTTTTGCTTCTGTGTTCATAAGTGAGACTGGACCCTAATTTTCCTTTCTCATAATGTGATTTTCTACCTTTGGTTGTAAAATTTTATTATTCATATATAATAATTTGGGACATGTTTCCACTTTTTTTGCTCTCTATATAATACTGAGGCTATCTGTACTTTGAATGTTTAGTAGAACTCTACTGTAAAACCACATGTACATCGTGTGGGGGTTGGATGACAGGTTTCAAACTACTGATTAAATGTCTTTGGTGATTCTAAGTTGATTCAGGTTTTCAGCTTCATTTTGAGTTAGTTTTTGTAGATTATATTTCCCAGGAAATTGTCCATTCAATCTGAATAGAAAAATGAAAGTATAAGACTGTCCTTGATTTCTTCTATGACTCTTTAAAATCTTTATTGTATCTGAAATTATGTTTCCTTTTGCATTCATAACATCAATTTGTGCCCTCTTTCCTTTTTCTTGGTTAGTCTCGCCAGCAGTGTCTATTTTATTAGACTTTGCAAAGAACTTGCTCTTGGTTTAATTGATTCTCAGTTAATTTATATAATTTTTAAAGTTTACTCTCTCGTCTTTAATATTTTCTTTGTCCTGCTTTCATTAGGTTTACTTTGTTTTTCTTTTCAATTCTTGAGTGAAATGCTTAGCTCATTAATTTTTAATCTTTCTTTTCCTATATAAACATTTCAGGCTATACATTTTCCTCTAAGAATTAATTTAGCTGCTCCCTAGATTTTTAAAATTATTTTTGAGATATAATTTATATACCATAAAATTCACCGTTTTAAAGTATATGTCAGTAGTTTATAGTATATTCACAAGGTTGTACAACTACCACCAGTATCTAATTCCAGAACATTTTAATCATCCCCAAATGAAACCCTATACCAATTAGCAGTCAGTCACTCCCATTCCTCTCTCACTCCAGCCCCTGGCAACCACTAATCTACTTTCTGTCCCTATAGATTTCAGGTAAATGGAATCATATAATATCTAGCCTTTTATGTTTCTGATTCTTTCACTTACCATAACGTTTTCAAGGTTCATCTTTGTGATAGTATATAGCAGTACTTCATTGCTTTTTATGGCTGAAGAATATTGAATTACATGAATACACCATATTTTGCTTATCCGTTGATATTTTGTTTTCCATTTTTTAGCTATTATAAATAATGCTGCTATGAACGTTTGTATACAAGTATTTGTGTAAACATATGCTGTCAATTCTCGTGGGTATATACCTAGGAGTAGAGTCACTGGGACATATGATAACTCTGTGTTCTTGATGGCTATACTCCAGACCCTTTGGACTAGGATGTAGTTGATATTCATTTAAGCCATATTTGACCTCTATGGAAACAATGAAGAGGTGTAGATAGTGAATAGGGCTATAGGGAGGAGGGACACACACTTAGTGTGGTTTTCCTGCGGTCTTGTCAAGCCCTCGTCCCCAACCTTCCCACTAGAATGGAAGCCAGAGCATATATTGTAAGGTGAATGTCTACAAACCCAAGAAGGTTCCCTAGCAGCTTCTTCTCTCGGTTGGTCTTTCTGGAGGGCCTCTTCCTACACAGGGTCCTGGGATTAACATGTATGAGATTCCAAATGGAGATGCTAATAGGACATTTAGGACAGTTAGGATACAAATTAGAGTTGGGAGGGTATACTCCTTTTCAGGATCCGAGACTCACACTCAATTTCTCTTAAATAATGTTAAGGATAAACCAGAAAGTAAAGAACATGAGAATATTGGTGTTGGGGACTAGAATATTATTCAAGATAAAAAACAGGTCTGATGACCAGATTATCTTGTCACTTACTCAACAATGGGTAACTATTGCTGCCTTCTCTACAGCTCCACCATTGTGGTCCCTCCATTATTCTGTTTTTACTGCTTTGCTGCTATTGTTTACAGTCCTCCTAATCATGGCCTCTGTTTACTGCTTTTTCTTTGCATGTTTTTTGGGTTTTGCCTGAACATGCCTCCCATGCCTCTCCAAAACCAAGTGCTCTATCACTGTGTACACATTCAAACTCCCCAAGTGAGAAAATGCTCTTGATGTACTTAATCCTTGTTATCTTAGTTAGACAGAATCACTATGTCCAGCCATCCCCTAGGCTCTAAGGCAGGCACTTAGCAACTTAGTAGGTCAGGTGTTATTCTATGTTCCAATGGGCTATAGCCAGAGTGATGGGCTCACACAGCTTTCTTCAAAATGGGCTGTGCTATGTCAAGTATAGAGAGCAAAAAGAGTTCTACTACAGAGGAGATCAGAATGGCTCCTTCCACAGTGAAGCACACAGGGACTGAAGCAGTTGGACAGACCTGGGTTCAAATCCTGCCTCAGCCTTCCTATCTGTGTGATCCTGGGCAAGTCACAACTCTTCAAGTCCCCAGCTTCCTCAATAGCAAAACAGAGATAGTATGCTTACCTCCTAAGCTACTGGGAAAAGGAAATAAAGCAATGTATGTAAGGTTCTTAGCACAATGCCTGGCACAAAGCAGGCACTCCACAAAGTAGTCTGTACAGCCATACCTTGGAGATACTGCAGGTTCAATTCCAGACCACTGCAATAAAGCAGAATATCACAATAAAGTGAGTCACGTGGATTTTTTGGTTTCCCAGGGCATATAAAAGTTATGTTTAAACTATACTGTGGTCTACTGAGTGTGCAACAGCATTGTGTCTAAAAAAATTTACATACCTTAATTTAAAAATACTCTATTGCTAGAAGATGCTAACCGTCATCTGAGCCTTCAGCAAGTTGTAATTTTTACTGGCAGAGGGTTTTGCCTCCATGCTGATGGCTGCTGACTGATCAGGGTCGTGGATGCTGAAGGCTGGGGTGGCCGTGGCCATTTCTGAAAATAAGACAAGACTGAATCTTCCTTTCATGAATGATTTTGCCATTTGATAGCATTTTACCCAGAATAGGACTTCTTTCAAAATTGAAGTCAATCCTTTCAAACCCTGCCACCACTTTATCAACTAAGTTTATGTAATATTCTAAAGGCTTTGTTGTCATTTCCACAATCTTCACAGCATCTTCACCAGGAGTAGATTCCTTCTCAAGAAACCACTTTCTTTGCTCATCTGTAAGAAGCACTCCTCATCCATTCAAGTTTTATCAGGAGATGGCAGCAATTCAGTCCCATCTTCAGGCGCCACTTCTAGCTCTCTCGCTATTTTCGCCACATCTTCAGTTACTTCCTCCACTGAACTGCTCAAAGTCATCCCTGAGAGTTGAAATCAACTTCTTTTAAACTCCTGTTAATGTTGATATTCTGACTTCTTTCCACGAATCACAAACGTTCTTAATTGCATCTAGAATAGTGAATCCTTTCCAGAAGGTTTTCAACTAACTTTGCACAGATCCATCTATGGCAGCTATAGCCTTACAAAATGTATTTCTTAAATGGAAAGACTTGAAAGCCAAAATTACTCCTTGATCCATGGGCTGCAGAATGGATTTTGTATTAGCAGGCATGAAACAACATGAATCTCTTTGTACATCTTGAGTGACCAGGTGCATTGTCAATAAGCAGTAACATTTTGAAAGGAATCTTTTTCCTGAGCAGTAGGTCTCAACAGTGAACTTGAAGTATTCAGTAAACCAAGTTGTAAACGATGTGCTGTCATCCAGGATTTGTTGCTCCATTTATAGAGCACAGAGTAGATTTAGCATAATTCTTAAGGGCCCTAGGATTTTTGGAATAAGCACTGGCTTCACCTTAAAGTCACCAGTTGCATTAGCCCCTAACAAGACAATCAGCCTGTCCTTTGAAGCTTTGACTTCTCCTCTCTTGCTATGAAAGTCCTAGATGGCATCTTCTTCCAGTAGAACACTGTTTCGTCTACACTGAAAATCTGTTGTTTAGTGGAGCCACCTTCACTGATGATCTTAGCTAGATCTTCTGGATAACTTGCAGCTTCTACATCAGCACTTGATGCTTCACCTTGCACTTTCATGTTGTGGAGATGATGTCTTTCCTTAAACCTCATGACCCAACCTCTGCTAGCTTCAAACTTTTATTCTGCAGGCTCCTCACCTCTCTCAGCCTTCCTAGAATTGAAGAGAGCTCGAGCCTTGCTCTGGATTAGTCTTTGGCTTAAGTGTATGTTGTGGCTGGTTTGATCTTCTCTCCAGACCACTCAAACTTTCTCCGTATCAGGACTAAGGCTTTTTTGCTTTCTTATCATTCGAGTGTTCACTGGGGTAGCACTTTTAATTTCCTCCAAGAACTTTTCCTTTGCATTTACAACTTGGCTAAATGTTTGGGGAAAGAGGCCTAGCTTTCAGTCTATCTGGGCTTTCCACAGGCCTTCCTCACTAAGTGTAGTCATTTCTAGCTTTTGATTTAAAAACATGAGAGACATGTGACTCTCCCTTTCACTTGAACACTTAGAGACCATTGTAGGGTTAGTAACTGGTCTAATTTCAATGTTGTTGTGTCTCAGGGAATAGGGAGGCCCCAGGAGAGAGAGAGAAGGGGGAACAGCCAGTTGGTGGAGCAGTCAGAACACATACAACAGTTATATCCTTTAAGTTTACCGTCCTACATGGGCGTGATTCGCAGTGCCCCAGAACAATTACAATAGTAACATCAAAAATCACCATAATATAACGAAAAAGTTTGAAATATTGCGAGACTTACTAAAATGTGACAGAGACATGAAGTGAGCAAATACCGTTGGAAAAATAGCACCGATAGACTTGCTTGATGCAGGGTTGCCACAAACCCTTACTTTGTAAAAAAAAAAAAAAAAAAAAACACAGCTGCAAAACGCAATAAAATGAGGTTGTGCCTATATTAACGGGCTCTCTCTCTCTCTGCACTCTTCCTATGTCTCCCACCCAGCATCGTGATGACCACCTGCTCTACCTTCTTTGCCCTGGGCATGATGCCCCTCCTCCTGTACATTTACTCCAGGGGCATCTATGATGGGACCCTGAAGGACAAGGTGCCCTATGGCAACATCATGATATCACTGATCCTGATTCTCATTCCTTGCACCATAGGCATCATCCTCAAATCCAAACGGCCACAATACGTACCTTATGTCACCAAGGTAAGAACCTGGGAGCCTGGGCAGGGATCGAGAACACCACCATCATGGCAGTGAATGGCTTGAGGCAAGTCATTTGGGCTTTTTCTGTGTCAGTTTCCTTCCTTGTTTAAAAAAAACAAAAGAAGTCTGCTGCTATTGGTACAACCTACTTCATGGGATTGTAATGTACATGAGAATATTTTTGAAGTTAGGAGAAAAACAGTAAAACACCACACACAACTATAAGGTATAATCATTATTTTAATAATAAAATTAAACTTTTATCATGTACCTAGTAGCTGCTAAGTTTTATGCTACACTCTCTGAGGAGCCACTGTCCTCGAAGTTTGTTTGCAGAAAGTCAGTAATAGATGAGAAACAAGATGCAACACAATGTACAATCAGGTACTGGCAGAATGTAAGGAGGTGAGGTTAGTGAGGGCCAGGCGGTCAAGAAAGGCTTCCCTAGAGGATGGAAGGAGGGGGCACGGTTTCAGCCAGACCATGAAGAAAGGGTTGGATTTGGGTAAGCCTAGGGAGATGCCTGAATAGAGGAGTTCCAAGGGAGACCACGGGCAAACATGGCTGACTGGATGAGAAGCCAGAGGGGAGGAGGCCAGGGGGAGAGGTGGTAGGCACACTTGTATCACTTTAGGAGTGGGATGGGAGAAAAGTGGAGTGAGATGGCCCCAGCAGGTGTAGGAGTGTGCTATGAGGGCATCATGCCACTGCCCTGCCTTTGGAAAAATCAGACTTGTAGAGTGAGTGGTTCCTCTACCAACTCTTGTGACCTTGGAGCTCAGTTCCCATCAGCCTCTCCTCTGGCTCCCTGCTCAGCCCAGGATCCCAGGCTCCATACCCGTCCTCAGGAAAAACTCGCCTCCTGAAGGCGTGTTGTTGTCCCCACCCCTCGATCTATGCCTTTGGGCCGGGCTACAGGGCATACTACTTGGAGGCCCAAGGCTTCCAGCAGCTTTGGGCCTGGAACAAAGAGGTTTGGTCAGGTTTCCAGGGTCTTTTGATTTTCACACTCCCATTGTTCAAGGGTAGTTTTTGCCCTTGTCCCGGTGTAGTCCTAATACCATGGCCACAGTCCCCCTCCCCACCTGTTGAAGATGTGAAGTCATTCCTCCTCCTGCCAAACGGCTCATCACCCCACTCTGCTCTGGATGGCATCTTCCGTTCTCTCCACCCTTACTTCTCAGAAATCTCCTTTTATTGATCATGTCCTCTACCCCCATAGCCTCCTCCCCGTCGCTCTCATTTCTAGAACGTCTCCATATTAGTTCTTCACAGCCAACGTTGATACTGGTTCACATCTCTCCTTTTTTTTTTTTTTTTTTTTTTTTACTAAGTAGAGTCACGGAACTCTACTTCCCTCTCCAGCCAACACCTCTCTTTCCTCCCCTTCCGAGCCGTGCTCCTGGGAGTCACCTGTTGCCCCCACCCACCTTCCACTCTCACCACACTGGCCCGCAGGACAGTTCTCCAGTGGCCAGGCCTCAACAGTCTCTACTCCTTGGCCTCCGATTCACTCAGCATCTTGATGACCACCTGCTCCACTTTCTTCACCAAATCCAATGGACATGTCTCAACTCTTCTTTTAGCAGCTGTTGGTATGGCTGACCACTGCCTCCTTCTCAAAAATCTTCTTCCTCAGCTTCAGTGGCAGGGCACCTGCTTTCCTACCATGTCTTTGGCACTGCTTTTCAGACTCCCTTGTGAGTTCCTCTGGTAAAAGTTACTTCTCTGCATTCAGCCCAAGCTTTCTGCTTTTCTTGTTTTTCTTCCCTAAGCCCAGGACCTCCCCGCCACGAGATCTGGTCCATCTCAACAGCCATCTACAAGCTGATGACTGTCAGAACAGTATCTTCAGCTCTCAGCTCTCTCCTGACTCCTGAATCCATTTATTAACTGCCAAATCTTTCTACCTGAATATGCCTCAGGCATTTAAAATTCAGTATGTCTTAAATTTAAACCACCTCCTTAAGCCTGCTCTTCCCCTCCTCCCACTGTGTGATTATCTCAATGAATGGCATTCAACGTGCCCCACTGCCTGAGCCGGAAACCAGACAGTCATTCTCCACATCCTCTCCCTCCCCACTCACACAAATCAGGGATCGTCAATTCTGCCTTCTTTTGCTTGAACCCATGTCTCTCCACCCCTGTGTCTACTGTCTTCATTCAGGCACTCTCCTCTCTCACTAGACAACCCAGCCTTCTAACCTGGCTCCCTGACCCAGTTTTAACCCGAGTCTGGAAAGAAACTATCATGTCACTCCACCGCTTAAAGGCCTTCGCTGGTTCTTTAAACTCCCCCAGGAGCCATGTGGCTCCTCAGCCCTTTCTTGATTCGGTCTCAGCCCACCCCTCCAGTGTCAGCTCTCTTCTTTGCACACGCCCCGCTGGACTCACTCCTGCTCACGCTTCAAGTCCCAGCACAATTAGCACCTCCTCTAGGAAGTTTTCCTTAAGCCACAAGCCTGGGCAGGATGCTTGTGCTACCTGCTCCCGTATCACCCAACACCACCGCAACAACATGTATCATACTGTATTACAGATACCCACTCCATTCTCACTCCCCACCCACCTGCAAGAAGCAACGTCCTAAGGCTGTGCGCCGACACTGAGTTCTCAACAGGCACAGCTGATACCTGAGAACAAACAAAGGAGTAAAGGGCAAGCCCCGGCTCTCCCACACATTAGCAAAAACAAACAAACAAAAAACCAGAAACATGTGTCTATCATTTCAGTTACTCAAGATAGTTTGTGGGATACAGGAATAAAGACAAATAAATCACAGAACATAAAAATGTGAAGTGACTCCTGATATCACTTAAAGCAGCTCTGCCCCCCTCCACTTTATAGGTGAAACCAAAGACTAGAAACCCAAGTGCAACTGATATGAGAACATGTCTGCTTACCTCAGAATAAAGTATTCTTCTGAGAAAGACAAATACAAATATGTGGTACATAAATACGATGGAATACTACTCAGCCTTAAAAAAGAACGAAATGACATCTGCACAACATGGATGGACCTAGAGATTATCCTACTAAGTGAAGTAAGTCAGAAAGAGAAAGACAAATACCGTATGATATCACTTATATGTGATATCTAAAATAAGACATAAATGAGCTTATCTATGAAACAGACTCACAGATGTAAAGAAAAGACTTGTGGTTGCTGGGGGCAGGGGGTAGGGAAGGAATGGAATGGAAGTTAGGGGTTAGCAGATGCAAACTATTATATATAGAATAGATGGACAACAAGGTCCTACTGTATAGCACACGGAACTATATTCAATATCCCGTGATAAACCATAATGGAAAAGAATATGAAATATATACATGTATAACTGAGTCACTTTGCTGTATGGCAGAAATTAACACAACATTGTAAATCAACTACACTTCAATTAAAAAAAAAAAGTGTTCTTCTGAGGATGCAAAAAGAATCTCAGATCTTAAAGTGATAAAGCCCTTCAAGATGAAGTTCAGTCTCCTGCCTTATTCTCATTCTACTCCTGTTCCTCTTGTGTTACACATCCATGACTCAATTCCACAGCAAAAAATGGAGTCAAAATGACCCCAGAGGGGCTTCCCTGGTGGCGCAGTGCTTGAGAGTCCGCCTGCCGATGCAGGGGACACGGGTTCGTGCCCCGGCCCGGGAGGATCCCACATGCCGCGAAGCGGCTGGGCCCGTGATCCATGGCCGCTGAGCCTGCGCGTCCGGAGCCTGTGCTCTGCAACAGGAGAGGCCACAGCGGTGAGAGGCCCGCGTACCGCAAAAAAAAAAAAAAAAAAGGCCCCGGAGAACATTCAAAGGGCTGAGATATACTTGGGCTGGAAAGACAGAGGTCAGTAACAAAGAATCACATAAAGTGCAGGTGTATCTTGGGACACTTTGCTGCTGGCCAAACCTCCAAGGTTAGACAAGCAGAAGGGCAACAGCTCCGTTTATCAATTACTCCCAAACAGGAATCACTCCTGTGAGGATGCAGAGAAAAACAAGTGGTCAAGATGCAAACGCTGAAGTTTCCTCGTGTTACATTTCTTTGAGGACTGTGCTCATCCTTAATCTCCCCGTTTCATAATGTAGTGAGTTACAAGCTGGAAAATGAGCAAACAATTGTCCCAGCCTCTTTGCACACCTAACACTCCTAGAGACTTTCAAATCAAAATTATCCAACTTCTGGTAACTGGCTCTGGCAGAAGGTTAGGGTTATCTGCTCAAACTCTGCTCAACCAGTTACATTCCCTAGAAGGAGGTCACATTTAAACACGCCAAGATACAATTTCAGGGATGCCCCATTTGGAAAGGCAATTCAAGTAATACTTTAACTTACCCATGCAAGGGTTTATTCAAGCCTACGTGGTTAGAAAGTTGGTGAACCTGAGCATGACATATGGTCTAAGAGCCACTCTTACCATAAGCCATCCATCACTCTTCAATAAGGATCCCGCCCTGACACTGACTCAACCACTCTACCTATGCTTTTCCCATACCTGCTGCTACGGATGAACTGACCTGACTCTCCTAAATCTCACAGCTTCTGCCAACTCGCGGCTTCTGCTGCTCCCAGGCCTTTGTGTCAAAATTTTAACACTTGCCTCTGCTCTTGCTTCCGTCTCTTTAACTCTTCAAACTCCCTAAACAAGAGGAAGGATCTCACTAGTTAGGTCATTCTTCAACCTGCCTAGGTCACCGATGCAAGAAGAGTTGGGCCAGGTTATCTCCTGGATCATTGGCAAGCTGAGTCGCCTACCCACGAATGGACACTCATCACAGCTTCAATCAGCGATGACAGGACAGTGCAGGTGGTAGAAAACATGGTGACCTATGAAGAAGCACCCACCTATGGCCTCTTTTCTCAACAGGTCATGGACATGAGATCGCCACAAATAGCAGGACTGAGAGTGACAAAAAACTTTGGGATGTCAAATTCCTCTCTTTTCCCTATGAGTAGTAATAGGAGCTACAATTTAGTCAGTGGTTCTAATATGCCAGGTCCTGTGCTGTCAACCTCACTCAAGAGAGGTTGCATGACTCACCAGTTTACACGTCTTGAGGATGGCTTTCACACCTGGGTCACACCATTGTCTGTGCTCACCACTCCAAAGGCCCCAAGACTGGGAGTACGAAAGTGAGGGGATGAGAGTGATACTCACACAGAGAAAGAGGGCTTCTTGATTCATTCACAATCCCTGTAGCCCAGTACACCCTATGTTATCCATTACACTCTTTTGATAGGGGCAAAAACTGGACATTAGGTAGACGACAAACCCAAAAGGCAGAAATTAACTCAAAATGCAAGGGCAAACCAAGCAGCGCATCAGTCTTTCAATAAAACCTGAAGCATGTTGTTACTGGTGAGATGCCTTCCTTTCCTGGGACAGGACCACCATCAGTACAGGTGATGTTTCATATGATCATTATCAGTTGCAACATGGCTTAAAAACACAGAAATAGGGCTTCCCTGGTGGCGCAGTGGTTGAGAGTCCACCTGCCGATGCAGGGGACGCAGGTTCGTGCCCCGGTCCGGGAAGATCCCACATGCCGCGGGGCAGCTGGGCCCGTGAGCCATGGCCGCTGAGCCTGCACGTCCGGAGCCTGTGCTCCACAACGGGAGAGGCCACAGCAGTGAGAGGCCCGCGTACCGCAAAAAAACACAGAAATACAGAACTGTACAGCTGAAATCAGAGCAATATAAATAAATGTTAAAATGTCGCTAGGACAACACTGTAATGTAATTAATGCCACTGAATTATACACTCAAAAATGGTTAAAATGGCAACTTTTGTGTTATATGTATTTTACCACAATTTTTAAAAATGGTAGTAGGAAATATAAAACCCCACATGTGCGAATGAGCTGGAAACGGAACCAAAACATATAACCATTACAAAACAACACGGTAAGTTCAAGAAAAGTTTGCTATATATCCTTTTACTCAGAAGATGAGAGGGACAGAGGCTTAGGTGTATGTGTATATTTCCTCAGTTTAGTGTGTCATCCTCTAAAATGCACAGACATGTAAGCACACTTTGAAAGCTTGCATCCTTGTTACATGCTGAAAAATCTTAACATTCTAATTTCATAAGTCTGCCTATTGAAAATTTTAAATGGTAAGATGTTAACTATAAAATAATGTATTTTAAAACATATAAAAACATACCATTGTTCCCGATGACAGTTGCTTTCACAGCACTTACCTGAGGCAGGGTGGACCTGCACTTTTTTTTTTTTTTTAATTGGAGCATAATTGCTTTGCAATGTTGTGTTAGTTTCTGCTGTACAATGAAATGAGTCAGCTATATATGTATACCTGTATCCCCTCCCTCTTGGACCTCCCTCCCACCCCCCCATCCCGCCCATCTAGGTCATCACAGAGCACCGAGCTGAGCTTCCTGTGCTTTATAGCCTGTTCCTGCTAGCTATCTGCCTTACACATGGTAGTGTATATATGTCAATCCTAATCTCCCAATTCGTCCCACCCTCCCCTTCCCCCCAAGTCCACATGTCCGTTCTCTAGTCTACGTCTCTATTCCTGCCCTGCAAATAGGTTCATCTGTACCATTTTTCTAGATTCCACATACGTGCGTTACTATACGGTATTTTCCTCTTTCCGGCTTACTTTACTCTGTATGACAGACTCCAGGTCCATCTACGTCGCTACAGATGACCCAATTTCGCTCCTTTTTATGGCTGAGTAATATTCCATTGTATATATGTACCATATCTTCTTTATCCATTCGTCTGTCGATGGGCATTTAGGTTGTTTCCATGTCCTGGCTATTGTAAATAGTGCTGCAATGAACACTGGGGTACATGTGTCCTTTTGAATTATGGTTTTCTCAGGGTATATGCCCAGTAGTGAGATTGCTGGGTCGTATGGTAGTTCTATTTTTCGTTTTTTAAGGAACCTCCATACCGTTCTCCACAGCAGCTGTATCAATTCACATTCCCACCAACAGGGACCCGAACTGCTTCTAATGATGCCATTATTGCCTGAGCCATTCTGAAACTCCTTTTGGGAACTTCCTTATCATCCAATCTGCAGGTCACTCAAGAAAGTAGGCTCATCCCTTTACAGTTATATATCATTTAGGATCTAAAACCACATTACCTGACTTCATTACCTGCTTTAACCAGCTTTGGTTCAAATGACTTTGGCAATTTCCAGAAGTTAAATTCATCGTAAAATGGATGGATGAAGTCCCTACCCGTAATGGAGGTATTCAAGACAAGTATGACAGGTTCTAAGAATAACTTCTACTGAGCTCCAAAATGACCACAGCAATGGCAGTATTGTAGGGATATGTAGATGGGCTTCAGAGACTTTGAAAGAGAACTTTCATTTACAATATTCACTTTGCCAGAGGACTGAATAGTCTCATCCTTCAGAGCCATAGCACTTCACTGAAAACCTGCCATACAGAGATGTCAATCAGAAGCTGTGCTTGGCTGAGTCTTCCTAACGTGTTAATCAGATCTATGACCTCCAGGAAGCTTCCTAGCTACGGATAAGAAATCCAAAAAGATGAAAGATAAAGGTCTTTCACATTCCCTCCCACTTCGAATACATTTATTAAAGTGTTTTCCACCTCCAGTACCCACCAGTGTTTCCCCAGCCCTCTCTGCTCTTCCACATGCCCAGTATCCTTCTAATTGCATTTCCTCCTTGTCCTTATTCACAGGGAGGGATGATCCTCCTGCTTTTGTGCAGCGTGGCTGTCGTAGTGCTCTCTGTCCTCAACGTGGGCAAGAGCATTTTGTTTGTCATGACACCACACTTGCTGGCCACCTCCTCCCTGATGCCTTTCATCGGCTTCCTGCTAGGCTACGTTCTCTCTGCTCTGTTCCGCCTCAACAGACGGTAGGTATTATTTTAGGTCCCACTGTCCCACGGGTCTCATGCTCATCCTTGTCTCTCAGAAAAAGGTAAGATCCATGATCTCGGGAAGGCATTTTTCAAGCAATATATTCAAATGTCTCAACTGAACAATGAACTCTGGACTGAGAAATACTGGGGAGGGAAGGTACTGAATGAATAACACAGATCCAGAAACAAAACACAAAGACCAAAGGCATCGAATCATCCAAAGGGCAGCAGTTCATGGCAAAATGCTCCCTCCAGAGCCTAGGTTCCACCTCCCGCCCAACTCCCTGGTGGCTCCATGTCATGACAAGCGCTGACAATCCCTTTCCCACCTCTCCTCCCTTTCTGTCTAGGTTTTAGTCTTGACACAACACCTTGGGTGGCAACTCTGCTAAGTGCCACTCGGAGCTGAAGTAGTTGCGGGCCTCTGCTAGAGCCTAATCCAATTCACAGACACACCTGCTACTTTAGGGGAACAGTCAGCTTGAGCGCCGGGTGTGGACACATCAGGCACCCTGTCTATACAGCGTGGTACCCCATTTCAAGATTTCCTATTTTCAGCCACATGGCAGACATGTTTACGCAGGGGTCTAAACAGTTGCACTCCAGCCTCGCACCACAACGCCCCGAAGAGCTGTTTTTAAAATACAATTTTAAAATAATTATCCATTTCAAAAACCAGGCTAATTTAATAAAGAACAAATTACTGTAGGATGCAACACATGGTGATATAGTAGTCAAGAGGCTGCCAATGACCACTCATGAATTTTCACGAAGACAGAATGATACAGGTCGTGATAAATGGCCACAGCATCAAGTGCCCACAGTAGTCTCCCTCATAGTAAATGTGCTGAGACAGGGCTGGCGATTTTTTTTAGCAAAGAGCTATTTTAATATACTAATTGCACTTCAGTGAATAAAATGTATTAAATGTTAACAAACATTCCATTCTTTAATCCATAAAATGGAAAGCAAAACCGAGAATGTGTTCCAAAGACAGATAATGGAACCAAGCTTTTATTTAATCATTGTGTTTTGGAGTTAAAGATGTCCAAGCCAGAAACTGGACCACAGGGCAAGGTTCCCAGACATTTAGACAATCTACTTTACATTTAAATTCTAACTGTCCTATATGTAAGCCCAACATATGCCAATGAATGATTCTGGCTCCCATCTTCCTTTTATCCCTCCAGCCAGACATTTCTCCAAAATTCACTTTGATAATCCCACAAGTGACAAATTGTAGATTTCCAAGCGACTCAAAAATTCCCTCATAAAAACTCCCCAACAGGAACCTAACAGTCCCCATCTCCCACAAGGCTGGATTGGTGATTTAAGAGATGGGCCAACTCGACTTTTCTCAAAACCGTGCACTCCACACGTGGCTCATTTTCATCTTCCTGTGTTGGACTGTCAGTTTCTCTTAGAGTATTTGGGAGAAAGGAGATGAGCAAGTGAAGTTGCACCCTCACGTCCCTTCTCTGAGGGCACACGGGGTGGTTTTTTTAACCTACACAGGTGCAGACGCACTGTCAGCATGGAGACTGGATGCCAAAATATTCAACTCTGCTCCACCATCCTCAACGTGACCTTCCCCCCTGAAGTTATTGGACCACTTTTCTTCTTTCCTCTCCTCTATATGATTTTCCAGCTTGGAGAAGGGCTTCTCCTCATTGCCATCTTTCGGTGCTATGAGAAAATCAAGCCTTCCAAGCGTAAGTACTGAATTGTTCCCCTTTGAGCTCTGCTCCCATTTTGGACATGATTCTGCCAGCAACCATCTCTAGCAAGGACCTTTTGGATAGGGCTGTAACCCATAAAGTCATTAGGAACCAGGCAGCACCAATAAGCAGGAAGGGATTTCAAAGAGCCATGACTAACTATAATAACGGCACTTCATTTTTGCTGGGAGAATCAGCTGTGGAGTTTGCCTCATAGAACAGAGGTGATTTTTGCTACTTTAACTGGGGAGACCATGCAGGACTCAGGAGACCATGTAGGACTCAGGGTATAGAAATAGGACAGAACTGTCTTGGACATTACATAGTTGTGAGATGTTGTGTGAAAAGTCCTATTCACAAGAAGTCACTAAGTTTCCATGTTAAGAGTAGGTTCTCAAGCCATGGAGCCAGGTCAGAGCCCCAGCACCACTGGCACTCCTATATGAGAAAACATGAAAGCAATGCAGCCCAATAATCCAGAATCGAAAAGTGAGGATTCCAACTCTGGCTACACAGTAAACAAAACTTAGGTATAAGCTTATTAAATTGATAACAACTATCAAAAGTCTAGATTTAATATAACTTACTGTAATTACCACTGGATTAAATAACTTCCTAGCCAACAGCACCTAAGAGGCTTAGAGTATTTCATTCTCTTCAAGATATAATGAAACCTCCAGAAAGCCCACCGAGTCCCTTAGTGGGCCTTAAACCCCCCCGTTTTTTTTCCAAACCAGAAAACTCAAATCTCAGTTGGTAACATATTTCAGTATTTTATAACTCTAAACATTAGTATATTCATCTCAACCACTCAAATCCTTCAACTGACTCATTTCCCACAAACTTGAAGATGCCTTCGAGACCTCTAGACCCTGGAGACTGATTTACACCCTATGAGAAAGATACAACTTACCCTGGTAGAATTTATCATCTTATAGTAGCAAATGAAGACTTACAATTAACTTAAAAGATGTAGTATTGGTTATCAAGTAGCCAAAAAGAAACCAATAAATAAGTAACCATACTTCAGAACCATTTTTACTAAGCTTTGGTTCAATACTACAGTGGAGTTACGGAAAAGAATCTAATCTGATACTTCTCGAGAGCAACTCAAGATATTTGTTACCCATTGAACACTCCACCTTCTTTAACAAAAGAAGCAGATTTCCAGATTTGCAGTTTTAGTCCCAGAAAGGCCTGAAATGTGCTCAAGAGGCCATATTCTGAGTCTATGGCTCTCAAAACCAATGTACCTAGCAAGACCCCTGTGGCAAAACTAAGTGCAAATAACTCACCTCTTTGGAGCTCTTGTACTGTCTGGGCCCAAGCAGCAATGCTCAAGTTAAAGAATCTGTCACAAGTTTCTGTGCTTTTGACCCTTGTACCCTTCTAGAGAGATGGGAGAACAGGAAAGGGGGACCATAATCATAGCTCCTCACCACCGCCATGCAGGCAGAAAAAGGGGTAGACCCGACACCACAATGATAGGTGTATGGAAACACCCCTTGAAAGACTTCCCACTTAATGCATTTTCCTCCCTGCCCCCACTGGCTCCCAGAAGGCAACAGGCAACCTTTGCGTACATAAACTCAACTCCCCATCTGTACAGTGTGTACTAACAAGTCAGAGATGGAGTGATGAAGAGTCAGTGCTCTTTATTAGACCTTTTGTTACTAGTATTACCATTAGGGATGTTGAGGGGAAAGCAAATCTTTCCTCAGTTTGTCACGGGAGAAGAGGTGGTAAAGAGATGGGGGAAAAAACAAAAACACAGGACACCCTAGGAGTAAGTTGGTATTCCTTTATCTCCCAGATAGAACAAGTTTTTTAACTATTCTTTTGTTCTTCCTAACCTATGACCCTCTTCAACTTTACAGATGAAACAAAAATGATCTACAAAGCTGACACAACTGAAGAAACCATTCCAACAGCTCTGGGAAATGGCACCCACAGAGGGGAGGCGTGCCCCCCTTGCACAGCCTAGCCTTCCCCAGTGACCTGGATTCTGGTCAGAAGGCAATTCAGAAAGCCAACGTGGCAAACTATACAGAGAGCAGAAAGATGAACCACCACCAGTGGGGTCTCTTTCTCTAGCATTTCCACCATAAACTATCAGAATCATCAAGCCTTGTGTGGAGGACAAAGTGGGAGTCTCCCCCAAAAAGCCTCACCTATTCCCATCTTACAACTTGATACTTGTTTAAAAAATAAAAGACTTATTCAATGACAGCCCTACAAAGGCAGGAACCAAAACTGCCTTTTGCCCTTGCATCTCTAGAACAGTGCCTGATAGGCATAAAAAAGCAATTTCTGAACTAGTCAATAAATGGGTTCTTACCCTAAAATCAAATACCCAAATTCTGTTCCAAGTTTTGTGACCCAAAAGGGAAATACAAGCTCAGAGTACTGTAGGATTAACAAACTTCAGAAGTCCTTTCTAACCTTAAATATTCAGATCCCATTCCTTCCCTTTTGACGTCACTGGAATTAAAGCTCCTGAGAACATGACACCAAGTACGCAAAAGCAGACATAATAAAATGCAAAAACACTTGGATAAGACAAACTCAAAACCTCAGCCATAATCAGATGAAAGAACATTTTGAAGAACACAATTCCAGAAAAGAACGAAAACTTTAAAAAAGAAAAGCCAAGAAAGTGCACATACCAACAGAAGAGTTTCACTAATCATCTATCCCACGCCTTCATTAGGTATCAGTAGTTTTCCCATTATGCTCCCTCCAAATTCAGAGTACTGTACGCTATTGCCCAAATCAGCGGTTGCTAAGTCAAAGTAAAGTAACTAAAATCCTTAAGTTTCAAATTTTCCCCAATGAAATTCAGACATTTTCCATCTGGCTCATAGGCATAAAAGAACAGGTGAAAGGGCTTCGCTGGTGGCGCAGTGGTTAAGAATCCACCTGCCAATGCAGGGTACACGGGTTCAAGCCCTGGTCCAGGAAGACCGACAAGCCGTGGAGCAACTAAACCCGTGCGCCACAACTACTGAGCCTGCGCTCTACAGCCCGCAAGCCACAACTGCCGAAGCCCGTGTGCCTAGAGCCCATGCTCTGCAACAAGAGAAGCCACCGCAATGAGAAGCCTGTGCACCACAATGAAGAGTAGCCCCTGCTCGCCGCAACTAAAGAAAGCCCGCACACAGCAACGAAGACCCAACACAGCCATAAATAAATAAATAAAATAAATCTAGGAAAAAAAAAAAAGGTGAAAGATTAACAAACTAATAAGAACACTTGCAAACAGCTGACCATGCCTAGAGTTTCTTGTAATTTTCATACCACTTAATGTGATTAGGTTCGATTGAAACCAAGACAAGTAAATTTTAGGTCTGGCAAATGTCCAAAACTACCAGTACTCCCAGCACCAGAACACCAATAATTTGGGTCACTAACGACGTCTTAAAAATGCAAATTTGTTTTAAAAAAAAAAATTGTGAGAAGATCTACCACCTATCAGCCTTACATATTTTACCCACATTTACATATCTGTTCAAACTGTTTTCTCTCATATCCAGCTGACATCATCTACTAGTAGACTGGGTGAGGCAAAACAAATGTTAAGTTCAGCTTTTTGAGGAAAGAATGGCTGAACTTGAGATATATTACACTCAAACTTTTCTTAGAGAACTAAGTTGACCCCTGAACAGCCAACCTCCATGTTGCTGAAAATTCGAGTATACTTTAGTCAGCCCTCTGTATCTAAGATTCCACGTCAACTGATTCAACCAAACATGGATCATGTAATACAGCAACGCTATTTGTTGAAAAAAGTCTATATATAAGTGGACCCATGAAGATCAAACCTGTGCTGTTCAAGGGCCAACTGTATATAAAAAACGAGCTACAAGAACTTCCCTGGCGGTCCAGTGCTCAAGACTCCGTGCTTCCACTGCAGGGGGCACGGGTTCGATCCCTGGTCCAGGAACTAAGATCCCACACTCCCCGCAGCACAGCCCAACACAAAACGAGTTACATTACGCCCTGCAAAACCTGGTCCTAAAACTTTGCTTAGGATTATATACCCACACTCATTACTTCTCATGTCCTGTATCTGGGAATTCAGGCCAACTTATCAGTTCAAAATAACTTGGTCATCTCTGCCATTTGTTCAAAGAAAGGGCTTTACCTTGTTTATTAAAGTGGTAAGCCACTGGTGTTACCTATTTAATGATAGAGAGGTGAAAAGTCACTGGTAAAACGCCGAACTACACCACGTCACCCTGAGTTACCATATCTAAAAAGCCCAAGGGGGAAAATAATTGTGCCTTTCCATTTCAGATACACTGTAAAGAAAAAAAACCTAGGTTCCCATTTAGTAAGCAGAGTACCCCACATCTAAGTGAATAAACAAGTATACCACACAAACTCTCCCCAGAAGAGTTTGCGTTAAAAAGATCAGCTTCACAATTTTATGGCCTGAGTCCTGCAGTCTTGAACACGGGGCAGCTTTCATGCCAAGAACTTTTAACCCTAGCCTCCACATATGGAGATTCCCACTACCCAATCCCCACCTTTGCAGAAGCCCAATCTTCCCAGAGTTTCTAATTCTGCATTCCTCAAAATCCCTGAAAGGTTAGGTCAGATGAGTGTGGAGTGGTTTGGGGGTTCTGGAACTAGACTTCCTGGGTTCTAACACCAGGAATTATATATATACTACATATAATAATTAAGGATTCAGTGACTATACAGACAAGGGACTTAATAGTGGCTACTATTTGTTATTCACTGTTATGCTTACAAGTATTTATCTAGACTAGCACTCAAATGAGTCTATGAAATTCCTAGAAGAAACAATAAAACTAATTTCCTATAGGTATAGGACTCTAACACTTAACAGAGATAGATGTAGAACCTTAGGCAGTTTTCACTACCCAACTGTTTTCCCTACAGACTGTTACATCCATGTCTCAGGACAAGAAAAATCATATGAAAGCCCCTTAAAGCATTCATATGCAATGATTTTAAAAGTTTTATGTGATGATCTCCGACCATCAAAATTATATTACAACCTTTAAGTTAGGCATGAAACATTAAATTTTACCATCTTCCTTCCCAAATTGTCCTTCTCTTGGCTATGGAAGGCCTAAATAATGTGACACCAAATAAAACTGGGTGGTTAAAGAACAGGAGTATCACGCACAAGGGAAACCGTCGTAACAACTGTTGGTTATCACTGTTTTGAACAGTTCACACTTCTTTGCCCATCTTCTTGACTAGCCAAGAAATGTCAACAGTACTTTTTTAAAAAAAGGCTCACCATACCTCACTACTACAGCCTTCTCTACCAGGGATTTTAAATGTGTCAAACGTGCATGGGGAAGGAGGATGTAGCCATACTTCCTTCAAACAAACAGACAAAAGCAGTTTTATAATCTTTTATTATCAATAACAAACAGCTGCTTTAACGTCTTTGCCAGGCAGCTGTTAAAGGGTGGGGGGACGGACACCCTTGACCCTAACAAGGAAAACTCAAATTAAGCCTTTACGTACAAGCAAATTTAGAGCTCTTTTAAGTGTCCAAAGCTATTAATTAGTTTAAGTGAGGCATTAAACTAATTCTGTATTAACATATTTGAATAACCAGGAACTAAAACGTTCAAATTTTTTCTAGTACAAAAAAATTAATTTGCTTTAGTTATAAAAGAGCTCTGTCAATATACACAAACTATATACTTCAGACATTCACAAAAATGTGAGCAGAAGGCTTATCAAAAACATTTAATACAATTAGTTTTCAACAACCCCTGGTGGTCCACATCTACAAAGATACCCAGCCCAGCCCAACCCAACCCAACCCAACCCCCCTCCAAATCCCACCCCCACAGAAAAGCACATACTTACCAGAATTTTTAGCAAGTATGGTTTGGGAATTTTTTTTTTTTTAAAAAAAGGCCCCCAGGGCAAGTTATTTACAGTTTAATTGCCACTGTCAACTGATCTGGACCTTGACCGGGACCGGGACCTGGACCTGGACCTCTGGCGATCCACAGATGCTGGAGACTTAGATCTACTTGAAGAACCACGTTTCTGGCTCTTCTCAGGCACAGGAGACCTACTAACAGAACGGGACTTGCTCCGGCTCCGGCTCCGGCTCCTGGACCGGCTGTAAGACTTGCGACTGCGGGAACGAGATCGGCTACGAGACCTGGAGGAACTCCTGGTCCGGGAGCGAGACCTGCTTCGCGACCTACTAGGAAAGAAAGAAAACAGAAAACAAAAAACACTAAGTAGCAGGCCCTACAATCCATTAAATAAAACTCTGTCCTAAAAATTTAAACAGGACGTCCCTGGTGGCGCAGTGATTAAGAATCCTCCTGTCAATGCAGGGGAAACGGGTTTGATCCCTGGTCCAGGAAGAACCCACACGCCGCGGAGCAACTAAGCCCGTGTGCCACAACTACTGAGCCTGCGCTCCAGAGCCCGCAAGCCACAACTAGTGAGCCCAGGTGCTGCAACTACTGACGCCCAAGCACCTAGAGCCCGTGCACCGCAATAAGAGAAGCCACCGCAATAAGAGAAGCCACCGCAATGCGAGGCCCGCGCACCGCAATGAAGAGTAGCCCCTGCTCGCCGCAACTATGAAAGCCCAAGCGCTGCAACAAAGACCCAACACAGCCAAAATAAAATAAATTTATATTAAAAAACAATTTAAAGAGATACCTGTGCCTTTTGCTGCCTTCGATTAATTTGATTTTTCTCCCATTTATTTCTTTTCCAGAAAGTTTTTCAATAGCATTCTTTAAGTCACCATAAGAGGCAAACTCAACTACCCTACAAAGAAAAAAATGCCATTTGTAAAGTTATACTTCTTGTAGTCTCACAAACTATGTTATCAGTCTAGTTTAAGTACCTTTTTAATGTTCATTTTGCTATTGCTATATTGAGTCATCCCTTTACGGATAAAACAGCATGAGAGCAAGACTCTGCAACCTCCAAACCGCTGACATTTTAAGCTAGATGATTCTTTGGGGGTGAGAAGCTTTCCTGTGCATTATAGGATGATTACTAACATCCCAGACCTCTTCTCACAAGA